GTGTATATATATATATATGCGCACATACATATCTGCATATACATACATGTGCTTTTTGACACATATTTCTTATATACATATACACACACATATATATATATATGCACATGTGTATGTATATGTATATGTTTATGTACATGTATATGTATATGTATATGTATGTGTTTTCAGTTGTAAGTATCAAATGAGGTAGAATATATTACCTTATAAATTCAAGTTTTTGTATACGATTACATCACTGTATGTATGTACACAAATACATACATACATACATACATACATACATACATACATACATACATACATACATACATACATACGTACGTACTAATAACTAGCCTTTCAGCAAACCGGACTTCTCATTCTTCGTAATTTGAACTTTGTCCTCGAGGCCCCATCTCCGAGCTGTACCTGCCTCAGCATTCTGCCCGTTTAAGTTGACGGCTTCGGGTTTAGGGTTTAGGGGTTCAGGGTTTCGGGCTTTGGGTTAAGGGTTTAGGGCTCAGGGTTTAGGGTTTGGGGCTTCGGGTTTAGGGTTTATCTGCACCCGCCATGCATGAGCAAAGGGAACCCTCTACGCACCCTTACAAGACACCATCTAAGACCCTTAATCCAAACCCTATAAGACTCTTCATTGAAACCCTGAACCCTGAACCCTAATCCCTGAGCCCTAAACCCTGAGCCCTAAACCCTGATGAACCTTAACCCTGAACCCTTAACCCTAAACCCTGATGAACCCTAAACCCTGGTCAACCCTAAACCCTGAACCCCCAAACCCTGAACCCCAAAGCCTCAACCCCAAAGCCTCAACCCTGAGCCCTGAGCCCTAAACCCTGGTCCTCAAAACCGAACGGCCTAAACCCTAAACCCTAAACCCTAAACCTTAAACCCTAAACCTTAAACCTTTAACCAGTAACGAGGTCCGGCTCTCCCTGTGCGAGCGCCTGGATCGGGCTGCCGGTGCATCAGTCGCTTGGCCGAGGCTGGGTGTTCTTATACATTAGTTTTTATATCACAGGTCCACATATTACATATTGTATATATATATATATATATACACATATTACATACATAAATACATAAATAATATATATATATATATACACACATATAATGAATACATTGTATTGCTAGTATCATTATTGCAGGTGCCATTAGTCTATTACTACTACTATTACCATTCATATTACTATTGCTATTACCATCGCGATTGTTATCACCAGAAAGATTACTATTACCGTTGCCGTTACCATTTCTGTTGCCAGTACCAGTAGCATTAGCATTGCCATTACCATCATTGCTATTACCGTTGCCACCACCACCGCTACCACTTCTGCTGCCATGGCTGCTGAAACTCCAACTTTGTGTCCGCCCATAAACCTTAGGCCCTAAACCCTGCACCCTAAACCATAAACCCTAAACCCTAAACCCCTAAACCCCTAAACCCTAAACCACTTAAACCCTAAACCCTAAACCCCTAAACCCCTAAAGAAGTTTGCAGTTGAGCTTCCGATCTCTTCCGTGGAGGCCCGGCTTACTATGCGCTTGGCTCTGAGTGGAGTGCAGGATTTAGGGTTTAGGGTTTAGGGGTTTAGGGTTTAGGGTTTAGGGGTTTAGGGGTTTAGGGTTTAGGGTAGTTTAGGGTTTAGTGTTTAGGGTTTAGGGTTTAGGGGCTCGAAGCCGTTGATCTTGACTGCGGGGATCCCTTAAGACGGGTGGGGGTTGGGGGTTTAGGGGTTTAGGGTTTAGGGTTTAGGGGTTTAGGGGTTTAGGGTTTAGGGGTTTAGGGGTTTAGGGTTTAGGGGTTTAGGGTTTGAGGTTTAGGGGGGTTTAGGGTTTAGGGTGTGTGGGCTTCGTTTTCTGACGACGATGGGTTTCGGAGCAAGACTAAGTCTTGCCCTGCTGAGGTCTATCTCGCGGTGGCGCAGGGTCGGGCTCCAAGGAAGCATAGAACAGCCAGAGTTTCGTGAATCTCTTTTAAATTTTTTGTTGCATAGGCTTCGAGGATCTGTAGAGACTTCCTAGTACAAGGCCTGGGAGTCGGCTTCGATTTCTCACTAGTTACTTCGGTTGAATCCTTCATGACCTTATATACCTAAACTGTGGGACTTATGGTATTACACTATATTTGAGTCATGCAGAATTTTGTCCATCAACAGTTGCAGCAGAGGGCTTCGTGTATCTATGGCGACATTGGAATCTACTCTGGCATCCCTGCTACCTGAGAATGGTTGGGTCCAGCTTTTGGCCTAGGATAGTGGGGCCTTGGCGCAGCCTTCTCAAACGGTGTTTTAGGATCACTTCGTGCCGAGCCCTGCTAAAATTCTCAAGCTTGTCATTGCTTGCGGCGCTTCTGTGTACGCTGCGCGGAGGTTCGTCCTCGTCTCACTGGCCGCACCCTCGGGCAAGGCCTGAGAAAGCCCAAAGCCGCATCTTTCGCCGGTGTTCAGCTGAAACCCGCGACACCTCAGCCAGAATAAATTCTAAACTCTAGGCCCAAAGCCGCCTAAACCCTAAACCCTAAACCCTAAACCCGCGCAAGACGGTGAAGCCCAAGGCTGGCTGGCGCGCATGGGGATGGCAGCTTGGCCGAGGCGGTCAGGTGCTGAAAGAAAGTTCGTTTCGGGGTTTAGTGCCGTTGAGGCTCAGTATGGTAACATAGTGCGTTATTTTTTGGAGGAGTACCTGGGCCCTCAGTGAAAGCCGGAAACAAGGCGTCATTCTATATGTACATGTGTATGTACATGTGTACATATATATATATATATATGTATACATATATATATATATATCTATGTGGTTCCCCATATCTATCTATCTATCTATCTATCTATCTATCTATCTATCTATGTGTATGTATCTAGACTGGTTGCACTTTCTGTGACTTGCGACCTTGAATGAAAGCTTGGGGCTCGAGGGTTAGGGTGATGACAGGCGTTGAGAGGGGGGGCACGGTTTCTTTGGAGGAGGTCGGCCCTGTCTCAGTCGTGGGGGTCGTAGTGACAAGGCAGGGTGGTAGAAGTGAGAAGCACCCTAAACCCTAAACCCGAAACTCCCTAAACCTTAAACCCTAAACCCACAACGCTAAACGATAACCTGCCACCCCGAAGCAATTCCCAAGCCCCGAACCCTGAATCCGAAAGTCTCGATCCGAGACCCCAAACCCAAAACCCTAAACCCCAAAACCCTAAACCCTAAACTCCAAAACCCGAAAACCCTAAACCCAAAACCCCAAAACCCCAAAACCCCCCAAACCCTAAACCCCAAGACCCTACCGAACTTACAAAAAAAAACCTACCGAGGTCAAGGGCTCCCTCCTTCGTTCAGCTCCTCGGGGCTATGAGGTCCTTGAGATCGAAAGCCTCAGCCCCCCACTGGTGGTGAAGGCGCCGAGACATCTGGGGATGAAGAACAGGGTTTAGGGTTTAGGGTTGAGGGTGTAGGGTTTAGGATTTAGGGTTTTTTAGGGTTTAGGGTTTAGGGTTGAGGGTGTAGGGTTTAGGGCTTCGGGTTTAGGGCTTAGGGATTAGGGTTTAGGGCTTAGGGTTTAGGGGTGATTGAGATGATATAGTAGTAATGATAATGATGATGATAATGCTCATCATCGTTCTTCTGAGCAGTTCGAATGATAGTTCTAACAGCAAGAACAGTTCTAGCGATAATACGCCTCATAGCAAGACTATGCTAGTACGAATCATAACAATAACAGTAGAATATGTTTGATGTATGCAGGACAAGGCGGATGGGAGGGTTGGATGAATTTGCTGGATGTTCGTCTTGACAAGGAAGTCTAGGACATTTTCAGGTGGGTAGTTACCGTTATAGGAGCCTTATAGAAGGTCTATATACCTTATGGAAGTCTTATGGAAGCCTTATAGAAGCCCTATATACCCTAAACTCCTCACCTGTAGTTTCCTAAACCCTAAACCCTAAACTCCCCACCTGTAGTTTCCTTTAAAGAAGAGAGGTTCTGCCCGAGTACACCTGTACCGCCTGACTGCCAGGATTTCTGGGTGAACGTGCCAGAGGACTGACAGAAGCAACGGCTTGAAGGTAAATCATGCCCAAGATATATATATATATACACATAATATATATATATATGCGCATATATATATATATATACACATACATATTGATATTGATTGCAGGTGCCCAAAGCCCGGTGACGCTTGAGGTTCGATCTTGGCTCGTTGTAAGGCTCACACGACGCGCTTTGGCCCCTGAAAGTTGCACCCCAGTCCCAGCTAGTTTTTAGGGTTGAGGGTTTAGACTGAAAGGCACTGAAATTTCGGATCGATTCCCAAAGCTCGGAGTGAACCCATCCAATGTCAGGAGAGACTCCGTTCTGCGATTGATGACCACATTTCCGCAGTTCAGTTTGGTTGCTGCACCCCCTTCTCAAATTGCCGAAGCTTGGCATCCCTCAGCAGTTCATTCTAGTTGTCATGTCCGCCAAGGTTGGCAGGGTGTAGCCGAAGGAATGCAGCTCGCTGTGCTTCCTTCGATTGCAGAACACCTGACAGCAGAGCAGCAACGCTCTAAACCC